GCCAACTTCCTCAGGACAACTTTTTTATTCAGAAATCAGTTTAGTAAATGTACTCTGCAACATCTCCAGAGTGACTAACATCCTTGTTTAGGCAAGGATACAAAGAAACGTCAAAAATAGGAGCAGGGGTAGGTCATTTCAGCCCTTTGAGCCTGTTGCACTATTCAATATATTCATGGCTGATCATCCAACACAGTACCCTGTTCCTTATATGTCTCCATACTTTTTGATCCCTTTAGCCCCATGAATTGTGTCTATCTACTTCTTAAAAACATTCAATGGCTTGACCTCAACTGCTTTCTGTGGCAGAGCATTCCACAGGTTCACTACTTTCTCATGCAAGACATTTCTCCTCAGTCCAAGGCTCTGTAAAATTGCAGGAAGACATCTTTGCTCCTTTACTCAAATCTTCTCGCTATGAAGACTAACATAACATTTTCCTTCTTCACTGCCTGCTGCACCTCCATATTTATTTTCGGTAACTATTCTACAGGACACCCCAATCTCGCTGCAACTCCCCCTTTTGTAATCTATCACCATTCAGATAGTAATCTGCCTTACTGTTTCTACAAGCAAAGAGGATAGCCTCACATTTATCCATATTATACTGCCTCTATGTACATTTGCCCCCGAGTCACTTGTCAAATCATATTGAAGATTCTGCTCACAGCTCACTCTCCCACCCAGCTTTGTGTTGCCTGCAAACTTGGAGATATTCTATTTAGTTCCCTCATCTAATCATTTATATATATTAATGAATAGCTGGGATCCAAGCACTAATCCCACTAGTCAATGCCTGCCAGTTGGAAAAAGGCCTGTTTATTCTGACACTTTGTACCCTATCTGCCAGCTGGCTCTCTATTCATGTCAGTACATTATCCCCAATCTCACATGCTTTAAATTTACATGCTAATGTCTTATGTATTACATTATTGGAAGCCTTCTGAAAGTCCAAGTAAACCACATCCACTGGCACCCCCTCATCAACCCTATTAATTACATCCTCAAAAAATTCTGGTAAATTTGTCAAGCATGATTTCCCTTTTTTGTAAATCTGTACTGAATCTGTCTGATCCTATCATTTTTTTTCACTCTGCTATTAAAATGTTCTGCTATTAATCTATAATAAGGGACTGTAACATTTACCCCGCTACAGATTTCAAGCTAACCAGCCTATAATTCCATTTTCTCTCTAGCTCTTTTTTTTTGATAGTGGGTTTACATTAGCTACCCTCCAAACCATAGGAACTGTTCCAGAGCCTATAGAAGTTTGAAAGATGACCACCAATGTATCCATTATTTTACAGCCACTTCCTTAATTACTATGGGATGTAGATTGGTCAGCCCTGGGATTTATGATCCTGTCAATTTCTCCAACATTATTTCCCTACTAATACTGATTTCCTTCAGTTCCTCCCTCCCACTAGATCCTGTTTTCCCCAACATTTTTGACATATTATTTGTGTCCTTTGTGAAAACAAAACAAAAGTATGTTTTCAACTGGTCTACGATTTTTTGTGATCCCTTGTGCATGGTACTCCAGGTGCAGTTTTATCAAAACCCTATTGTCGAGTACAATAACCATCATCCCAGAGGACCGCTCTCGCATTAGAGTTGGATGAGTGGTGGTAGTTTAACCTGAAGGTCACCACAGCTCAGGCAAGGGGTGAAGTCATGAAGGCAGGTCCTTTATGTTAAGCTCAGCTGGTGTGGGAATGGAACCCCTATTGTTGGTATCATTCAGTATTGCAAATCAGCCAACTAGCTGCACTTTTTGTTGTGTTTCTTGCTCTAATTCAATTATTCCTGCCTGTAAATTGATCTCTCTGAATAGACCATAGACCTTGACATCCTAAGTGCAAAATCACCAGACACTGACTAGTTATGCATTAAAATGGGAAATAGAAACATAGGCACATAGAAAATAGGAGCAGGAGTAGGCCATTCAGCCTGCCCCAGCAGTCAAAATGATCACGATTAATCAGTACCCTTTTTCCACTTTCGCCGATTGCCCTTTCATCCTAAGAACTACGTCTAACTTCTTCTTGAAGACATTCAATCTTTTAACCTCAACTGATTTTGTGGTAGAGAATTCCACACACTCACCCCCTCTGGGTGAAGGAATTTCTCCTCATCTCAGTCCTAAATGCCCTACCTTGTATCCTTAAACTGTGACCCTTCGTTCTAGACTCCCTGGTCATTCAGAACATCCTTCCTGCATTTGCCCTGAAATAGTTCACAGAATTGGATCTATAAACAAAATATTTTCATACAATGCCTTTAACAACTTCAGACTATTACATGGCATTTCAGTCAACGAAGCATTTTTAATGTGCCTGTAACATGTTATGTCTATGGGTGGTGCTATAATAATTTTTAATAATTTTAAAATAACATTTAATAATTTTTAAATGCTTTGCATTATTTAAAATAACAATCGCACCATTTGCTTCTCTATTTTCTGTTCAGGAAGTTCTGCACTGTCTCCACGAGAAGGAACTAGAACAATAGCAAAACTCTTTTTTTTGTTTGTATTTTCTGTTTATTTCTAATTGGTTTCTTCATAGTACAGGTTGTTCCAGTTAAAGTCGCATCTCCTGAGACATCCTCTCTCCCTACCATTCAGCATGTTTTTGCCAATGAATTCTGTTGTATTTGGGTTTGTAAATGTTATTGACTGCGACATAATTACATAAGATGGCATATGACTCAGAAATATTGGGAGAATGATCACGGTTTCAACAATGTAGGACCTCACCGCACAGATTTATAATTCAGCAGTATGCAATTAATCAGCTGTTATTTGAAAATACCGACAATTAGGTAATCATTCCAAAACTAATCAACATCTATTTCTTCATGAGATGTCTGCATCAATGGCTAGGACCAAATCAACTACATTGCTGTAAGTTTGTAGTCGCATCTAGACTAGAGAGGAATGGCAGGTTTCCTTCCTAAAGGGATTAGTGAACTGAATGAGTGTTTATGACAATTTACAATGGTTACATTGTCACTATTAGACTAACGTTTTATTGAACTCAAATTTTGACCATCTGCTGTGGTGGGATTCCAGCACATATCCCCAGGACATTAACCTTGGGTTCGGGATTACTAGTCCAGTGACATTACCCATTACCCCACCACTTTCCCCTAAATGACATGGGGGCAGCAATGATGGACTACAGAGCGCTGAAACTGCGATGCCAAAACAGCAGAAGAACAACAGTTGATGAACTCCCAAAGCAGCTCCATAGTCAAATTGGAGAGTCAGAAATAGTTTTTGAAGGCTGCACGGAGAATCATAGCAGCCTGTGAAGAAAATCCCAATCCCTTAGTTGCAGGCCTCAAGTA